ATAGCATTAAGTGTAAGGTAATTGTCAGTTTTCTGAGGAGTTTCTGTTACAAATATGGTTACTGTATGTTTTCCATATCCAAATATTGGACATAATTGAGATACGGCTACTGAGATTTCCTTTTGCCCTGCATTATTTGTCTGTACACAAACAGGAGATGTAAAGCTTTTACAATGTGTAACAAATGAATTAGCAAAATCTGGTCAGAAGTATTCCCTTTTATATCAGAAAACTTACACAAATGTCATATATATTTTTACAACTTAGATTTGTGTTGATGATAGACCACCATGAAATCGCTACTCAATTCTGGGAAGGCTGTAGAGCTAAAAGAAAAAAAAAAAGACCTGCCAATTTAATAAGCAACAACAACAAAAGTCTAGACAGTAGCTTAAACATTGTAATGATAGTAGAGAAAACAACATTAAAAAAATTAGTCCAATTTAATAAAACTTCATTAAATACATGAATAAACATCTCTGCCTGTGACTTAGAAAGTAAATGCAATGTATCTCCATTTATGCAGAGATGATGTATTCAGTGATCTCTTTGTTTCATTCCTTCAGGCATGGCATTAGGCACAGAAAAATTTCTGACCAGGTCAAATCTTTGAATCTTTTTTTTTTTTTGTCGGTTGTGGGACTTGAACTCTGGGCTTGGGTGTTGTCCCTCAGCTCTTCAGCTCAAGATGAGTGCTCTACCACTTGAGCCACAGCACCACTTCCTGTTTTCTAGCGATTTATTGGAGATAAGAGTTTCACGAACTTTCCTGCCCGGACTGGCTTTGAACCTCGATCCTCAGATCTCAGCCTCCGAAGTAGCTAGGATTACAGGTGTGAGCCACCGGCGCCTGGCTTGGATCTTTTTTTTAAGGTTATATTCTATTGAATTATTCACAATTTTGTTTGTTGCTTTGCGTCAAGTCTGTTAAGAAGTTTCGGATTTTCTGTGGACATTATGTAAGATGAAGAATTTGATTATTATGTTTAACTTCAAATGGACACATAATTGATTAATAGTAACTTTTTTTGAGCGTTTCTTAGGAGAATTTACCATCTTTGTGATATATTCCATTCCAAGGTATGTAGATTATTATAAATCTACTCATGTCAAGATTTTAGCTTTGGTATTGACTACCTCTCACAGACACTTGTATTAAAGCACTAGTTCCCAGGGACTAGGAGGTGTGTGGGAGTGTGGGTGTGGGGGGGAGGTCTCACATGAATCCACAAGTCCCAAGGAGTCAGGGCTATGCTGTATAACTGGTGTCTTGTTCTAACTCTCACTTTTTGCTTCCTGGCTCATGAAAGGAGTCACACAATCATTCCTTTGCCCAATACAATGAATTCATTCACCCGATCTTGGGCTGGAACTTCCAGAACAGAAGCAAAACATGTCTTTTCTCTTTTTATACATTAATGATCTCAGTTTTTTCATAACCGTGACAAGAAGGTGACTAGCACATATGGCTTCTTTAAATAATGATTGAAGATGTGAATAAATGGGTCTGGTACTCTTCAAAGTCATGGAATCCAGTTAAGTACATGGATGTGTACTTTGGTAAGTGACATAGACCTCCCCTGGAGCTGTAGATTGTTCCTCTACTTACCTAAATTTGTTCTCATCCGTGTTCTGCTTTAAATAGAAACCATTTTATTGCTTATGTGCCTGATGCAGACATTGTTGTTGACCAAACCTTAAGGTCCAAGTCCCCTGTTTCCAACCCTTTCTCACATTCTTGGTCTCACACATCTTTCTTCAAGGAACTCCATTTTCAGTCTTCTTTATCCAAGAAAAACGTCACGATTTCCTTTCCCAAAAGACCAGTTGCCCCTTAGTGTGCCTTCTGACGTAGCATTTCAGCCACCATACATTGAAAACACGACATTAGAGTGAACTATTTTCAACCTCTGCTAATTCTCCTCAGGAAAGAACAACTGACATTTATTTTTTCCCCTCCAAGTTCTTTGTTACTCCCCTAGCACACTGCTTCAATTTAGCTTGATAAAAGTCTCTGCTGTCCTCATGTCTTTCTTTAACATGGAAATCTTCCCTTCTAGTGTTTTCTGTTTTGTGTAATAAATATTTTCTTAAAATTCTTTGCTAGACCTGATCAGGTTTCTTTGGGGAGTCATCTTTCGAAGGTCTCCCTCTGGAGGTGTGCTGTGAGTGGCTCCCAGGCTGAGCTGTATTTATTTCTCCTGCTCTTTATGCTGCCTTAAGCTTACCTCAAGCTTACCTCGGAAAGCACCACTGTGTCCCACCGGCTGCTAAACAACATGCAAAGACCTTTGTTGTGTTCTCATTGCATATGAATAAACCTAGTTTGACTATTAATGAGAACAAATGAGGCCAGGCCTATGATGTACAGAGTATGAATCCACTAACTTGTTATTCTATCAAATAGAAAAATTGTTCTCCACTGTGTGGCTCAGTTGTGACTAGAGGTAAATTTTCATGTGCAGATTCACAAAAGGCTTATTATCCCACATTTCAAAGTCCTTCCCTCCCACCCTCCCTTCCTTCCTCCCTTCCTTCCTCCCTTCCTTCCTCCCTTCCTTCCTCCCTTCCTTCCTTCCTTCCTTCCTCCCTCCCACCCTCCTTCCCTCCCTCCCTTCCTTCTGTCACTCAATATTGCTTTTCTTTATGATTCATCTGGGTCTTATCTCAATTGTCATTTACACTCAGATGACTCATCTGTATTTTTAGCTCAGGATTCTGATCGGAGTGTCAAACCATTAACTGTAGCTCAACTTGACACCTCCTTTTGTATATCTAAAAATAAACTAAATTTGCCCTGGCAACTCAACATTCTAAACCCAGTTTCTTCCAGATTTGGCATCTAAGTAGATGGTACCACTCCCTGTTGCAGTTACATTCACTAAAAGCTTGAGAATTCTTTTTTTTTTTTTTTTTGGGTCCAGTCGTGGGGCCTGAACTCTGGGCCTGGGCGCTATCCCTCAGCTCTTCAGCTCAAGGCTAGCACTCTACCACTTGAGCCACAGCGCCACTTCCAGCTTTTTTCTTTTTTCTTATATGGGCCTGAGGAATCGAACCCAGGGCCTCATGCATGTAAGGCAAGCGCTCTACCACTGAGCCACCTTCCCAGCCCAAGCTTGAGAATTCTTATTGATTCCATTTCCTCTATTTTATTATTGATTATTGAAGTTTATCTTTTCCCCAAGTTCTTTTTATTGACCACGTCCTGTAGCCTGTCCCTTCTGAATCTACTTTCCATTTCTACCAAGAACATTTCCTCATCCTCTACTGGTGATCACATAGTAGTTTACTACTACTATCCTTTTTCTCTCATTATTCTTCAACCAGTTTTCCTTTGGAAATTGGAAATTCCATTTTGGAACCAGACAGGTCTTTTCAAAACAAAAGTTTGGCCATACAGGCTTAAAATATTACATAAGAACATTGTTCTTATGACAAATATTTAAATTCTTCTCATGACCTAGTAAAAGATTTGTCTCAATATCTATTTATAGAAGAATAAACTTACACAGTTCTCAATATTTTCTATTAAATACTATTAGTATCTATCTATATTCTTGCTAATAGTTCTGTTGAACATAAATGTCAAGTGTGTTTCTGGTATAGGTTAGCTATCATCTATTAAATATCAAGGTTAATGGAGAGGCGGTGCAGTGACTTGCAGCCATTAAGGGAATAGAAGAGTCTAATCTAAGAAGATTAGTAATGATTTATTAAGTGAGTCATTGTGCTTTCCAGTTGATTGAAAGGGGGTTCTATTCCAGAGAACCACCTAATAATTTAGCTTTTTTTCCTTAGATTTTATGTTCTGCAACTTTAGGCTACTTTGTAAGAAAGAACATGTAGCAAACCATTTACTTAGTTTTTGTAGTCATAACAAATGTAATTCCTATAAATCACTCAGACATGTATTTTGCTGATATAGTTTTCTTATAATTTATGACATGTACATGGTTTAAAGAAAAGAATAATTTAAAATAATCACATATTTTAATAATAAATAATGATCAATTTCATATGAATGAAGGCTTATCTCCTCTCCTCCTCTCCCTTCCCCTTTTCTACTCCTCTCTCCTACCACTTGCCCCTGCTCCTTTTTTAGCAGAATGTCATAGATTTAATCACTTAAAATCAACAGAAGCATATTGTAATTGTGAACATAGGAATCTAAAATCAAGACACTAGCAGCTTCCATGTTTGGTGAAGGCCCACAGTGGCTCAGAGATGATACCTTTGTATGTTTGCATGCAGAATGAACCAAGCAGAATCTATGAGGCCTCTTTTCAAGTAGCCCCTGCTTTGTGAGGATTCTACCCCATGACCTAATTGTCTCCCAAAGGTTCTACTTCCCAGTGCTATTGCCTTAGGGGTTTGGATTTCAGCATAAGACATTTCTGGGGTGGGGCAGGAGCTATGATTTGAACATTCAGAGCAAAGCATCTAATGGGGTTGGTATTAGACAGAATTGAAAAATAGGTAAATAATGTTTTAGAGATATATTCTTTTGTCTCTATCTCCTAGTCCTGGGAGGAAGATACCATGTTTTTATATATGTGATCTAGGCAGAGAGTAGCATGAAACTACTAGGTGCTTGAAACGTAAGGGTCTAGGGAAATCAACTTACTACCCACTCTGTGCTTAGTCATTTGGTGATCTTGGACAAGCTAGTAAACACTTAGTTTCCTTATTTATAAGTGATAATAACCCGTTTTACCTGCTGGCCTTTTAAGGCACAGAGCAGTACCATGAGATTCTGAAGGAGTTAATAATTTTTTTTTAGACTTTTGTACTCAAAGGAAGCACAGAATCCTCTTGATTTTCATAAGTGACAGTTTGCAACTTCCTACTGTTTTCTCACTTGATGTGTTTATATGGAAATGTGTAGGTTAAGTGGTTCTGTGTTTACTTTCATCTGGCTATTAATTTCGAATCAGCCACTCAAAGGTTGTTGGCGCAGAGCGTTCATCTAATTGCTCTATTGTCATTTCTTCTTTTCCCAGGCAATGGGCCTCATCATGACCGTTGCTGTATTTACAATGAAAACAACGTGGTGGATGGTGTTTATTGTCTCCCAATAGGACACTGGATTGAAGCCACGGGTCATACCAATGAGATGAAACACACAACAGATTTCTATTTTAATATCGCAGGCCACCATGCCATGCACTATTCAAGGTAAAAATAGCGCCATGTTGATAAGTTAAAAGTAGAACTGGAAGTGACAATGGGAATATTTACTGTGTTGAACATGGCAGTGGCTTCTTTGGGGGGGGGGGGGGACAGTCTACAGACCTTCAGTGCTTTGAGGAGAAAAAGACAGTGAGTCAGAGTATAAGCTCTTTTGGTTCTATATATGAAAGATGCTTTTTTTAAAAAAAGGAGAATCCTTATATTAGATACATATGTTCTTATCAGTGCATTTTGTCAGGTTAGTAACCACCCATTTATTTAGATATTGTGAGTTAAAAATAAAAATGCACTAAAAATATCCTAGATGAGCAGTTGCATCATACTGACCAACAGATCAATGAGAAGTGGTGTATCCTTATAAAAATGTATTCAAATAACTGTGTGGAAAACAAACCGTGAGGTTTGGGTGTGGTCATTTCCTTTATTATTTATTAATGTTTTAACATATTTGTTTAAGTATTAACTAGCAATATATGCGATAATAAAAATACTGAAGAGAAAGCTAGATGAAAAGCAGAGCTTATGATACTTTTCCTTCATTCCTACTCATCAGATGTGATTATAGTTAATGACTTTATGCTTAGTTTTTCTGGAGTCTGAAATGAGATGTTTATAATTCATTTATTAATGTATTGGTATAAAATAGCTATTGATTGTCCTGTATTGCCTGTGAGAAATTCAGCTCTGTATTTGTCCTCTCTCTCTTCTCTAATCTCTAACGGATGTAACAAAAACTGCTATTATGACTTACTTTCATAAAAACTCTATTTTGTGATCCATCAATTTTTGACAGTGTCTTATCTTGAAATTTCCTATTTTCTAAGATTGGGATTTTTGGGTCTCCATATTTTTTGACATTTACTTTCACCTACCAACTCTTGTTTTACTTTTTGCACTTTCAAAGTTCATAGAATTTAAAGTTTATTTAGTAAATATGAATGTTATTCATCCTTTGATACTTTGAAATTCAAAATTAAATTGCCAACATTTCAATTATCACTTAAATATTATTTACTATAGAACATGCAATATTTATGCCATAGGCAAGGAAATATATTCTCATGTGTATGAAAATTTATTGCTTTGGTTAGAGCTATAATTAATAGAATATGAGCACTGGGAGTGAAAGAATATGCAACTTCAAAATATTAAGGAATTAGTATTCTCGGTGAACACATCTTTCTGACTTATTCCTGTTTGATTTTAGCCTGACTGATTGAGTGGAAACAAATTATGAAGAAGAGAGGTGTAAAACATGATTTGTGGCTTTATGAACCAAACAATGGATTTGATGGTACTTGCTATTTACTGAACATCTAAACCTGGAAACAAATATTTCTAAACAAAATAGGATAATGGAGATTAAAAATGATACAAAGGTGTCTAATCCATTTGCCAGACCAACAAGTGCCCCTAAATTTGCCATTGGTTCGGGTGCAGTGTTGCTGACGTTATGTTTTGAGCCTCAGCTGGGGAATATTGCGTAGCCATAAAAAGAATGGTATCCTCTCAGCCAAACAGATGAAAGCAGAGCTTGTTACAGGAGGTAAAACAGCCAGATGCAGAAAAACAAATCCCACAGGTTCTCTCTCATACGGAGGTGTTAAAAAAAGAGAGAAAGGCCATTTGTAAGATATATCATGATGACAGAGAGTTAGAAGGAGGTTAGGTAATAAGTAGCCAACACAGTCATAGGAAGGAGTAAGTTCTAGTCTTCTACAGAATAGGGTGGGTGACATATGCACGTGTGTGTGTGTGTGTGTGTGTGTGTGTGTGTGTGTGTGTGTGTGTGTCTAGAGTTTATGATAACCTATGATGCATTTTAGCAAAAACTAGGTGTGCAAAGGCTCTAAACACAAAGTAATAACAAGAGAACAGACATGTCAGTTACCCTGGTTTTACCAGTGTTTATTGTGCATGAGTATGAAATCATACTGTACTCTGTCAATATGTGTGATTATTTTGTGTTAAAACATTTTAAATATTTTAAGGAGAAGGAAGGAACTCTCCTGATTGGATTACTGCACAGTGTATGCATGTATCAAATTACCATATCATACCCCATAAATTTGTACAATTAAAATAATAATTTAAGAAACTCAGTTGGTAGCAGTTTAATTAAACATCAAAGCCACTTTTGGATTTTGAAATTAGAAAGCTGTTATGGCTTTTCACTACTTTCACTTATGAAGGCAAAGTATATTTTTCTACATACTTAGGTTTGTAAAATAGACTATTGAGGCATGTGTCATCCTAGAGTAGATGTTCTTATTGCTTAATGATGAATTGAATTTTAATGAAAACAGCATAACATTCATCTGAAATTCAGTGAAATATGCCATTACCAAAGCAAACTGAAATAAGACTTTTTGGTTGTATTTTTAAATTAAAGGAATACGAAAGACATCTGCTTGGATTTTTGCTTTTAGAAATAAAAGTGAGCACAAGTAACTTTGGAAATGTTGCTGAGTTCTAGTAATAGTTATGACAAGAAGAAATAATGACTTGAGAAGCAGAAATCATCTACTGTATTGTAAATGCTGAACTCAAATGATGGGTCCTCATTAAAAATAAGAAGCCCATAAATTTAAATAATGCTATAGAGTGCAGAACAGGTCAGCCATTGAATGGAACATATCTATAATTAAAATGCAAAGTAAGGAGAGGGTAAAATATAACTGCATGCTTGGATAGATGCAGAAAGTATTTGCTATCCAACATTGGCTTAAACTATTTTGTCTTATTGATAGATAAATTTCTTATTTAAAGATATTTGTCTTGGGCTTTCCTGTTAATGCAAATACCTTTTGAGGGAACAGCCAAATAGCAACTATAGACATTGTAAAGGTAGTTTGTGTACTAAGAAAACTTTCAGAAATCAAGTTTTATTCCAGATCCTAGGTAAAGTGAATGTAGTATTATGATCTACTCAGCTGATGGGAATCCATTTAGGACAAGACAGAAGAGCAGTCCAGAGACTTAGCACCTGCGTGCTCTGTGCCTGAATACAGTGTGTCCCCAGGACACAGGCTATCCGTCTTTGCTATGATGAGAGTGGACTGACGCTCTCCTGATAGACCATGACACTGGTCCTGAACATGAACTTGAACATCTCAACAAAAAAGCCATCCTCTGTTCCTACACTTCTCAGAACATTCTGTTCTGCAATAGCCTCAGGACCCGGCTGCTCAAACCAATGATTATAAAATGCCATGTAACCTGAAAGTCAGAGCCGTTGTTACTATGGGACCAAATGCGTGAGAGACTAGCAGGGAAGAAGGAGCGAAGTGAAGGATAGAAATGAAAGAAGGCAAAGGCCAGAAAGACAAAGTAAATACAACAACAACAAATAATAACAGAATTGTCTAATAAGCATAAGGGCCAAGAGAGTGTTTTACCTTTAGCAAAACAATATTGAATTCTGAACCCCCCTTTCGTTGTGGCATTCAGGGCCTTGTGAGTTATAAGCAGGCACTGTACCACTGCAGCTTGCCTCAGCTGATTTGTCTTGGTTACGTTTGAGACAGGGTCTTACCTTTAGGCGGAGGCTGAACTGGACTGCCATCTTCCTGTTTATACTTCCTCATTGCTGGAGTGTCCAGTACTTTCAACATGTCTACCTTTTCATTGGTTGAGATGGGGCACCCTATCTTTTTGCCTGGACTGGCCTCTAACAACAATTCACTTGATCTCTGCCTCCTGAGTGGCTTTTAGGCATGAACCACCATACTTGGCCCTCACAATCTTTGGGCAAATTTCATGCAGCCTGACCATCAAAGACATTCAAAAGGGCCTTGTAGATCAGAGGTGACTGGAAGCTTCAAATATGGTGTATGACATTTTGAGGAAAAGCACATAAAAAGGCTATGGGAATATTTATAAATATGTACATTTATAGTATTTTATATGTGTACATATTTATAACTATATAGTTGTTTATACTATTACATATTATAAATATATAATATACAACTATAGTATTTTTATGTACATAAATATATGATATATAAAATATTATCATATGTTACATATTATATACTATATATGAATATATAACATATTTATATAACACATCATGTATATTAATATATACATTTATACACATATAAGTATATACATTTATTTATACTATACTTATATTTTTATGAATAATATATTTATATGCAATTCATTTTAAATTTATTATACTTACAATATAGTTATATTTATATATAACTATAGTGTATGCTAATATTCACTATATTATGTATTACATATACTAAGATGCATTGTATACATTATATAAAATACATATTTTTATATAAAAAAATATAAAATATATATTATAATTATGTTAAATTATTTATATGTAAATATATTGTCTATGTTCTATATAGAACTATAGTGTATGTTACTATATACTACATATATATTATTACATAAATAATATGCTATATTAATAATAGATTCATAATCTATATTTTGCATATTATAGCATATATTTTTAATATTTATAATAAACATCTTCTCATCATATGTCAGGATGTCCTAAATACTGACCATGTCCCTCTGTAATGTTACTCTCCCTGTCAATTCACTGATGTGTTCTCAGCCTTACCTTCACTTCACCTGCTTGGTGTGAAAGTTACTCCTTGAAACCTCCCAAATTGGCAAAAAGACTACTTCCTAACTCAGAGCGATGTCTGATTTCAATCTTTGTATCTCCTCACTGCTTTTTACGTAACGGATGCTCAGATGTGTAGGTTGCATGGTGAATTTTGTGAAATTTAGTGGCTCATTATTCTTTTCCAATCCAGAACTTTTGTTCAAGGCTTTTGCAACTTTCAGGTAGGTGTCACGTGGGGTCCGAGCACTGGGAAGAGGAGATGAAAACCCAGTTGCTACACAGTTGTAACTTGGTTACCATCAGAGATGTTACCTTCTCCTCTTTAGATTGTCCAGACTGCTGGAGTCTGACTATGCTTTGTCAGAGGAAACCAAACAAG